ATTCACTCCACAAATACCGGAATTTGTCAAAACCATTTATGTTTGTAGCATGCGATGGATATATTGTTGATTGTTATGGCCCATATAAAGCAATTACATCAGATGCTGATATCATGTCTGGTCTATTTAGCTCTGAGAATTCAGCTTTGAGATCATATTTTAGACAAAATGATGTGTTCATTCTGGACAGGGAGTTTAGGGACTGTATAAGTTTATTAGAGGGGTGTGGCTATAGAACCTGTATGCCAGAATCACTTTTAGAAGGCGAACACCAATTGACTACTGGACAAGCGAATAGGAGTCGCTGTGTGACTATTTGCAGATGGGTGGTAGAGGCCGGAGTCTCTTTTAAAATGACCATTTCATTTTAAAAGAGACTATAAACTTTTTATACAAGAATATTTTCATCGGTCTCTACCACACCATGATGCAAACATTCCAAATAGCAGCAGCGCTTTTAAACAAGTTTGGTGTTCGCTTTCAGAACAATGTATATGCAAATGAAATATTAGAAATTATTAGAGAAAGAATGAACTAAGAAAATAATCTAGCAAATGTGGTAAATGACTTAACTATGAATAGAAGAACATCCCAATTCCATAGTATTAAGGAATTACAAAAGTATTATTTATACTTCCCAACCTTCAAGGGTTGGGAAGTATAAATAATACGTATTATCGTATAGAGATTTAATTTTATTCGCCCTGGGAACGTACCAAATAAGACAAGCTCACTCATATTATGGCGAGCATGTACGTTTCCATGGTGGGTACAGAATCGAAGTGTCCAGTGAACATATTGATTTATCTGAGTATGATTTAAGAGGTACTGGCAAGACAGCTCTTATAAGAGGAAAAATAAAATCACGTCACGTATCCAGAAAGCAATATTATATATATATCTAAATAGAAAATTATATTCCAGGCCGGACAGGTATCTGTGAATATTGTTGTAATTGCTTAGTTGGTCGGCGCACAGTAGGATGTTGTGCTCATGTAATGACGCTGGTCTGGTACTTAGGATGGGCCAGACATCAACAAAATATTTCCGCACCGGCAGAATTTTTAGATGAAATAATTATAAGAGAGGATGAAGATGAATAAATATTTTTGTAAAATAATAATATTGTTTTATTAGTCCCCTCCCCTTCATACAGTTAATAGGAAAGGGCCTATTACACTAATCGTTAGAACGACTCGATATTAAGACTCCGAGTAGTGTAAAAACAGACCGGTCTTACTCTGAACAAAAAATAAGACCAGTCTGAATTGATATCTATAACGAGTAGTATATGAGGCGAGTTGATATAACGAGTAGTATAATAGGCCCAGAAATGCTATTCCTAAAGCTCTGTACTCAAATACGGTAGTACTCGATAGTTATACTCTGAATAAAAATATATTTCTAACATTAAAGAAAAGCAGAAAAATTTAAAATTTAAGAAAAGTTGTGCATATTGTTATTTGACGAAGTTTCGTTAAAGGCACAAATAACATATAATGAAAGGAAAGATAAAATTACGGGAGTAGTTGACAACGGCCAACAAAGAAAACCTAAATTTGCTGACCACGCGCAAGTATTTATGCTTCGTGGTTTAATAAAAAATTACAAACAACCCATTTTTTATACGTTTTCCGCCAGTGCGACAAAAGAGCCAGAATTAGCCAAACAGATTAAGCAAGTAATTACAGGGGTGCAACAAGCAGGGTTTATAGTGATAGCATCACTATGTGAACAAGGGTCAAACAACCGTCAGGCGATAAGACAATTGATAAATGAGACCAGGGGAGCAAAAGATTTTATCTCGGGAGATGAAGATAGCACCTAGAATCATGTCGCGTATTTTAAAAGACGACTTAGGACTTGCAGCCTATAAGAGACGCACTGGACATTTTTTTAATGATAATTTAAAAAAGAATAGGGTGATAAAATCTAAACAACTACTGAAGCGGTACGCAAAGGGAGGTCACAGAAAAATTTTGTTTACGGATGAGAAAATTTTAATTTTACAACTGAGCAACATTTTAACAAACAGAATGACCGTATTTATGCTCAAAGCTCTAAGGAAGTTTCTTAATTAGTCGACAGAGTGCAACGTGGGCATTATCCGACTTCAGTGATGGTTTGGTGGGGTGTTAGCTATGAATGAGTGACTGAGCCATACTTTTGCGAAAAAGGTATCAAAACATCGGCACAAGTGTATCAAAACACCATTCTTGAGAAGGTAGTTAAGCCCCTTAACAACATGTTCAATAACCAACAATGGTCCTTCCAGCAAGACTCGGCGCCGGGTCATAAAGCTCGGTCCACGCAGTCTTGGTTGCGAATGAACGTTTCCAACATCATCTGAGCTGAAGACTGGCCGTCGTCTAGTCCCCATCTTAATCCGCTGGATTATGATTTATGGTCAGTTTTAGAGAGTAGGGCTTGCTCTAAACGTCATGATAATTTGGACTCCCTAAAACAATCCATTCGATTCTCAGTGAAGAATTTTCCCATGGAAAGAGTGCGTGCTTCTATTGATAACTGGCTTCAACGTTTAAAGGACTGTATTGCAGCCAATGGAGACCACTTCGAATAAACTTTTTATGTTTTAAATTGTTTTATATTTATGTATTAAACCTACTAAAATATATATATAAGAATATATAATAAGAAATAACAAATTCATCAATTACAAAAAACTTTAGTAAGTATCTATAAAATCGGTTATAATAATTGTGCACTCAACAAATACGTGGGTACTTTTTTGCACTGTAAAAATTCCATTGTACACCAAAGAATAGAAGTCATTTGGTGCCCATGCTTAATTTAGATATTTTAGAGTGTGCAATGAACATATTTTTGGTGGGTAAGATTAGTTTAGTGAATAGAAAGATACATAACTAAGAAAATTATTAAGCAGACAATTATTTACTTTCGTTTTCAGGTCTATTTTCGTGGTATCCTGAATTACAGGAGCTAATAGATCTATTAGAACCCTTATTCAATTTTTGTTGAGTCTAAAATTTTTGATGACTTCTGTTTCACTCAAGTCGTAAATATCGACGGCGGGATAAGTGCGCTGCTGTCGCCGGGCGTTGGCCAGTTGCTCGCCACTTTCCAACAACTCCGAGATAAAAATGCCAATAAACTCGTCCATCTTTCACTGGTTTTAAGTCCAATCGTGGATACACAAAATTCAGTCTGTATTTTACGCGGAGGTTGTCGTTCCAAGAAAACACAATACACAAATCAGTCTATATCGAATTTTCAGTAGGTATTTTATTTAAAAACGAAAAAATAGTAAACACTACAATCCAAAATTCAACGAATTCGCTCAAAGATGACGTATCTCGATAATCGACATGAACTCTAACGTTAGCCTTCGACAAATTTCGGATTCGACTTGCTCAGAATAGTAACTTCTAATAGTACGAGAGCTAGCAACGTCAAAAAAACAAGAATTTCAGGTAGGCCAGTTTTTAGATATGCCATCTCTGTCACTCTCCTGGATATCATACGGGCTACCTGGCTGGCCGTAGTGGTTGCGTTCATCAGTGCGCATCGTACCTGTACAGGTAAAATATTAAGATTTCAAATCATTTTAAGAAGTTTTTTTTTTTTATTATTTTTATTAAACTATTCGCAACAAAAGTTTATTATTGCCAGATATTTTTGTTGTTGTTTAAACTGTGCCAAACGACAATTTTGAATTAAAAAAAAAATTTTTTTCAAAATATTTTAGTATAGTTGAAATTTTTACAGCATGTTATTTAAGTATCTAAAAGCTCAGAATTAATTTGCCAGATAATTAATCGGTTGTTAAACCTTTTGCCAGACCGATATAAAGTATAAAGTGATTGAGCATGTTGGAAGAGTGCAGACAATCACGTATTAGCTACGCAAGCGAGATAGACGACAACAGCTGCTTGTAGTCAAGATGGCGTCAGTTTAGTCTCATAGCTGTATTCGTTGTTGTTATTTGTAAAGTTTCTAACAAAAGTGCATTACAATGGCTAATGAAAAATTAATAAAATGTGTTTTTTGTAAAGATACAACTGGAAAAGTAATAACTTTTGTAGAAGATAGATTAAAAAAGTGTAAAGAAGTTTTACAAATTCGTGCAAATTTTAAACTTAAATATAATAGTGTTCAGTTACCGGAGCAAATTAATGATACTGATGGATATCACAGAAATTGTTACAACAGTTTTACAGCTCTTATGGCGAAATATCGTAATTTATCTGAAATTAATTTCTCGTCAGCAGTAGATCTTCCCAGCACATCCAGTTCAGCTTCGACATCAAATACTGAAGTAAGTGTTCAAACAACTCTGTCTGATGAAACGTCTGAAAATTCACATACAGAAGTAAATGTCCAAGATATTGACACTTCTAATACAACAATTCTACCTGATAGTTTGGTAAATGTTGAAACTAATTCAAATGTCTTACGAGTTTGTTTTTTTTGTGGAAAAGATCGCAAGCAATCAAAAGGTAAACCACAAACTTTACACTCCTCAAATGATGCAAAAATATATCAAAAAATAGCCGAGTGGATGACAAAATTAAGTAATCAAGAACTATTAGATAAAATAGAACATTTACGGTCAAAAAGTGAAATTATTTATTATCATCATTCATGTGAATTGGGATATTTAAATGATTACAATAAAGTTATTGCTGATAATCCACGAACTTCCTGGCATGACAATCGAAGCATTCACCAGACCATTTTCAATCACATTGTTTCATTGATAGAAGAAGAAGTTGTAAACAATAAAAATTGTTTATTATTATCTCATCTTTGTGATGAATATAATGATGAATTAAAACTTCAGTCTCAATCAGAAGTAAATTTAATGACAAATAATTATCTTGAAAATAAAATATTGAAAGAATTTAAAAAATCAATCAAAATTATTTCAAAAAATAAAAAAAAAGTTATCATGCATAAAGATTGCAGTTTATTGGAAGATAATGATTTGAGGAGACTGGAGGAAAATGAGAGATTTGAGAATGACTGCTGAATTATTGCCGAATCAAGAATTGTCCCGACTGCTTTCTTCGTATCAAAAATTCGTAGATAAAACAAGACAAGGTGATCATGGCAAAACTGCTCAGTTCTATATGATTTATATCCAACTAGTTCATTACTACATCATTTTATCAAGGAGTATACGCATGGGTGATTTTGAAGTATTCAAACATATTATTCCAAAAATCACAAATTTATTTTTTATAGTTAATCAACCAAACTACGCTCGATGGTGTGTTAAATACTACGATAATTTGAAAAATGTTGACAAAACACATCCAGGACTTGAAGAGGACTTTAAATCTGGATGTTTTGGAATTAAAAGAACAGACAAACCGTTTTCACGCATACCAGTAGATCTTACGCTAGAACAGACTATAAATGCAGATGCAGCTAAACGGCTGAGTGGTATTGCACATTTTACAAATTCGATAGCTGCACGTCAACGCTGGACAAAAAGCCACAGTATAAGGGCTGCTTTGATTTCTCATGTTATCGATGTTTGTGGATTAAGACACATACAAGACGTTACAACAGATTTACAACCTAATCGGATTAAAATTAGTGAAAAACAACTTGCCGCTTTTATTGACATTTTTGAAAAGAATTGTAATCCGTTCGATCCAGACTTAAACAACGATAATCTATACAATATAGCTACTGGGAAGCCAGTCTCCGAAAATATTGCTGACTTTCTACTGAATATCGAAGAAAATGGTGATGAGTTAAGAAAGCAGTTGATTACTGAATGTGCTGAAGATGGATCTAGATTTGACAAACCTATAAAAAAAAAAAAAAATTCTTAACTTCGCTGAGGCTCCAAAGAAAAAAAAATTAATCCTTGGGAACAAAGTTGTCGAGCTGAGGATGCAAAGGGATTTATTTGGGAGAATGTTGGGAATATCTTTAACTCATAAAGTTGATATTGAAAAAGTATTAACATTTCCACTGACACCAATACCAACATCGATGTGCCACGCAGATGGTAGTATTTGCAAAACTGATAAATCTCAATTAGTTAAATTGATTGAGAAAAAAATCGGTGATGACGTCGATAAGCCACCTTCGTGTTTTAATGTAGCTATTTTAGATGGTTTCTTCATGTTACACCTAATGAAAGAAGTACCTGTAACCTTCGATGCTTTATCTAAAAAATTCCTCAGTATGATACTACGATTTAAATCCAATCGTGTCGATATTGTCTTCGATCAATATTTTACACCATCAATCAAAGATTTTAAGCGTTCACGGCGAGATGAATTGATCAGCGAAGTTACAATCGGGCCCAATCAAATTCGTCCACAAAATTTTGTAGCTGAGCTAAAGAATATATATTTTAAAGAAGCTCTTGTTAATTTTTTATTGACCATTGGGCTGGTGATGAAATGGCTCCGATCATTGGGAATAAAATAATTTATGTGAACTTCAACAAGTGCTATTCATATCGGGTTGAAAATAATAAAGTTATTAAAAGTGTTGAAGACTCTTTGTCTTGCGAAGAACATGAAGAAGCCGATTCTCGAATAATATATCACATTTGCCAAATAGATGTCGATGCTGAAGTTGTAGTACGCTGCTCAGATACAGATATTTTAATAATACTTCTTGGTAACATGGATAATTTGAATGCATCATTAAAACTCTGGATGAATTTGGGTGTTGGAAATCACGAAAGAATTTTAAACGTCAACGAAATATATAAAATTCTAGGAAATTCTTTATCAAAAGCTCTACCGTGTTTTCATGCACTCACAGGATGTGATTACACCCCAGCTTTTTTCCGGAAAGGTAAACTACGACCATTTAAACTATTAGAACAATCAGAACAGTATCAGTTAGCCTGTCAAAATATTACAACAGATGATGAAGATTTGATGGATGAGACATTTAGGATCTTAGAAAAGTTTATTTGTCATATTTACGGAGTTCGAGATTCTTGGAACGTTAATGAAGTTCGGTTCCATCTGTTTTCAAGTACTTATCAGTCTAAAAAATCAGATGATAATTTTGAAAAAAAGTTCCGTAATTTTGATCCATCAAGTCTACCACCAAGTAAATCAGAGTTATATCAACACTTACTACGAGTTCGTTACGTCACGAAGTTTTGGAGAAATGCTCATTTAAAACACCCAACATCTCTATCACCTCAAGCTTCTGGCTGGACCATTAATAATGATAAATATGACTTTGTCTGGTTTGTTGGGGAGCAATTACCAACATTAGTTACCGACATTATTATTAAAGGTAAAAATTGAAATTAAAATACAAATAAATTTCTTGACCGAAAGATAGTAAAATTTTTGATTCTATTACAGATAACAGCTTATTACGAAATGATAATAATTCAAAGGACGATGATGACAATGATAATGACAGCAGTGATGAAGATGAAGATGATGATGATGATTATCAAGATGTCTCCGTTTTTTGTGATACAATTATGGATTAAAAAATCTAACTTTCATTCTTATGTAGCCATCCAAATTTTGGTGCTTTTTCAAACTTAAAATTGGTCATTATATTATTTTTGTACGAAAATAAAGTATTATTTATTTACGGTATCCATCTATAAATAAATTCTATAGTTTTAATCCTTCTTTGCTCATTTATTAGACGATTAATTTTCTAAACCAAGCTAAATGATAATATATCACTTTACACTTTATATCGGTCTGGCAAAAGGTTTAACAACCGATTAATTATCTGGCAAATTAATTCTGAGCTTTTAGATACTTAAATAACATGCTGTAAAAATTTCAACTATACTAAAATATTTTGAAAAAAAATTTTTTTTTAATTCAAAATTGTCGTTTGGCACAGTTTAAACAACAACAAAAATATCTGGCAATAATAAACTTTTGTTGCGAATAGTTTAATAAAAATAATAAAAAAAAAAAAACTTCTTAAAATGATTTGAAATCTTAAGATTTTACCTGTACAGGTACGATGCGCACTGATGAACGCAACCACTACGGCCAGCCAGGTAGCCCGTATGATATCCAGGGGAGTGACAGAGATGGCATATCTAAAAACTGGCCTACCTGAAATTCTTGCTCAAAAACGTTGCCAGCTCTTAGACTATAAAATTTGTCGAAAAAATTACGTCATTCGACATTTTTGTCGAGTTCGACACCATCTCTAATGCCGAGAATTGGCCCCCAGTCCGTTGTTAGGACAATTTTCACATTACAAATAAAGAGTTGCCCACCGCTGAAAAGCTAAGAAAAAAAAATTAAGGAAGATATTAATTTTAATGGATCGGAACGCAGTCTGCGCAGAATACTAAATAGTTTAGGCTTCAGATGGAAAAAAGCCGAAAACAATAGGCGAATTAAAAAAAAAATCAAACATCAGATTGCTATCGAATTTCTTAAAACGCTGTTGAAATATAGAGAAGAAGGGAGAACCATTATTTACACAGATGAGTCATGTTAATTCGTCTCATTTAGATGTAAACATTAAATTTTACTTTTATTCGCATATTTGTGTGCTGTTATCTTGTCTGGTTATAAATTAATGAAAAATAATCCTTACATCTCTTATTACAGGTTCTAAAACATGGTCAGATGGATCTTTGAAGGGTATTAAAAAACCAATTTCAAAAGGACAGCGGGTAGTCATAGTGCATGCTGGATCGGAAGCTGGATTTATCCCCAATACGTTACTTCTATTTAAAGCTTGAGCTAAATCGAGGGATTATCATGACAACATGAATTTTGAAAACTATACAAAGTGGCTTCGCACCCAGCTAATACCAAACCTGCCGCCAAATTCAGTGTTAATTATTGACAACGCATCGTACCACAATAAACAGTTCGATTCAGCCCCTACTTCGAATGCCAAGAATGCCGACATGCAAAGGTGGTTGTCAGAAAAGGGCATAGCTTTTGAAGAAAGCATGCTTAAACCCCAATTGTACAAATTGATAAAATTAAACAAAAATAAATACAAAAAATTTAGCATCGACCAAGTACTGGCAGAACACGATCATAGTGTTCTGCGATTGCCGCCCTACCACTCGGACCTAAATCCAATAGAAATTGCATGGGCGGCAATAAAAAGCCAAGTAGCTAGTAAAAATATAAAATGGAATGTGTCCCATGTAATGGACCTAATTAAGAAGAAAGTGGCACTAATGGGCGCCGAGGCATGGGTCAAGTTGTGCCAAAAAGTAAAAAAAAATAGAAGCGGAGTACGTCAAAAGTGACCATATCGTAGACACAGTCACTGAAGAGTTTATTATTTACGCCAGTGACGACAGCGATGAGAGCGACTTGGACGAGAGTTTTGTCGATGATCAAGAGCCACGTCCTTCCGCTAGCTCCAGTAGAACTTATTCTTGCCAAGTTAGGTGCCGGCTACTGTACCCTCGGGAAGCGAAGACGGTCAAGACTATTCGAGTGCGGAAAGTGATGATGACACGGAAAAAATCAGAGAAAACTTGGACTAAATGACTGGAGATAGTGACTCTGAAAATGAAACTGAGCCTACTAGGTAAGCACCATTATCTTCCACTTACTATAGCACGCCCTTCGTTGAAAACAACTCCTCCACCGAAACAAATCCTCAAGCCAGCATTTCCGAGCCAAGTACCGTAAAATGGGGTGAATAGGGATCCAGGGGTGAATAGGGAAAATCTAGTATCTAGAGAGAAAATTATTCGCGGGGCCATTTCGCAGGTTACGTTGGGTCGGTAAAACAGTCCTAGTCGGTAAATCAGTCCTAGTCGGTAAATCAGTCCTAGTCGGTAAAACAGTCCTAGTCGGCAAAACAGTCCTAGTCGGTAAAACAGTCCTAGTCGGTAAAACAGTCCTAGTCGGTAAAACAGGCCTTATAATATTTTGAATCGAGTTGAGGGAGGGTGATTTTGAAATTTTGTTGTTGTAAAAATATAACTAACTCATCGACTTAAAACTTTGAATTACTTAATTATCGCTGATTAGTGTCTGAAGTTGTACTTTTAGTGTGGTGTTGTTGGTGTTGGTGTATTACAATGTCGAGTAAAAGACCAAAAAGTAGTTGGAGGTCATATTTCCTCATGAAAAACAATTGTACAACTGCTAAGTGTAAATACTGTCCCAAAGAATTAAAGACGTGCAGCAATACTACTAATTTAAAACAGCACATGGAACGAAAGCATTCTGCCATAATAATTGTCGCCCATGGACACCCGCAACAAAGAAGGAGTTACCAGTGCGTTGCCGACCTTTTAAGGATTGGGATTTTGGGACTGGGAAGGGATCACATAAGCCAAATGCCTCATCCCCCACTATGACGTACAACACGGACGCGATAACTTGAGACTCGGCTGGAATGCGGCCCCTCTCCCGACTCCCCGCGCCGCGCCCCGCTCTCGCCATGTACGCTCAGTACCGATAGCATCTTTGTTACGAGTACGCGTCTCGGAGTTTCATTCGATATTTTTGAGAATCGTTTGTTGTTTTGTTTGGACTTTTGTTGTTTTTAGTTAAAGTTGGACGTTACTTTATCTGTTATTGTTAATTGTGTTGTTTTATTGTTAAGTTTGGACGTTGTGTTGTGTTTTAAGTTTTTTGAGACGCTTAGGCGTTCCCAAGCGCTGTCCGCCGTCTTTGTTTTAAAAAGATGGGGGGAAAGACGTTACATAGCCAAGCAAGGACACTTGCTTTAAAAGTTTTGAAATACTTTGAAGATGAAAAATCAAATAAGACGTACCTTATTCCTGTGGACAAAGCTTTGAAGAGGGCTTGTGCAGCAACGGGCATATCAAAAGCAACACTGCTAAGAATAAAAAACGAGGCGAAAAAAGTTCCGATAATTTCTCCCGACGATGACACTGTTGAACCAAGTCCAAGTACTTCTGAAGCGAGACCGATACCCAAACTATCAACCCCAGGAAAAAAAAAAAACAGAGGACAAACAAAATTGAACTTGACGGTTTTGATCTGTGTGCTCTAAGAAACATAGTCGACAGTTTTTACACAGTACGGAAAGAAATCCCAACATTGAAAAAGATTTTAGCTGTTGCAAAAGCAGATATAAATTTTCCAGGTACATATTATATTTTATTATTATTGAAATTTACAGTAATCTTCTAATATATATTCTAATTATAATTTCTAATTCTTCTAGTATTCTTAGCACCCATTTACAGTAATCTTCTAATATGTATTAATTTCGTTTCATATGAGAAAAGACCACGCTGCGACGAATACTGGTGAACTACTTGGGCTACAAGTTTAAAAAACGTAAAAACGCACGACGAGTATTAATGCAAAAACCCGACATTGCTGCCTGGAGAGCACGCTATCTTCGAAGAAAAAAAGAAAATAGCGAACTCGGAGCGGACAAAAAACCCGTAATCTATTTAGATGAAACCTGGATACACTCGCATTAAACTGTTCGTAAATGCTGGCAAAATAATAATGACGCCAGCATAAAAAGAAATGAGAATCCAGGCCAGCGGTGGATATTGGTACATGCTGGCGGTGAAAATGGGTTTGTCCCCGGTGCCGAATTACTTTATAAATGTAAAAGCAATACCGGGGACTACCATCACGAAATGAATACAAATAATTTTAAAAAGTGGTTGACCGAAAAATTAATCCCAAATTTGCAACCCAACAGTCTCGTTGTTATAGACAATGCTCCCTACCACTCTACTCAGTCAGAAAAACCACCCGTGAGTTCATCCCTTAAAGGAGAGATGCAGAGTTGGTTAAGAAAAAACAAGATTCCATTTCAAGAAAATATGACCAAACCGGAACTTTATCATTTAATTGTTGTGAACAAACCACCAAAACTATATATAGTGGATGAACTCCTGAGGGAGCATGGACACGAAGTGTTACGGCTGCCACCCTACCATTGCGATTTGAACCCAATCGAATACATATGGAATTTAATAAAACAAAGGGTGGCAGCCAAAAATGTCAACCAATATGAAAAAGAGATAGAGGGTTTGACGAGACAGGCAATACAGTCAATAACGGCTTCCGACTGGAAAAAAGAAGTCAACCATATCGAAAGATTAGAGAAAGAATACTGGGAGAAAGACAGATTGGGCGAAATGCATCAAAGAGAATTCATAATATCCTTCGGAGGAGAAGAAACCAGCTCATCGGAGAGCGAGAGCGAAAGTGAAAATGAAGATATGATGGACGGAATAGAAGCAATAAGTTATAGTGATAATGAATAATAAATATTAAAAAAAGATGAATTTTGTTTCATTTAACTGTTTATTCAAAAACTATTAAAAATAATTTATTTTAGGCAGTGTACGATTACAAGTCCCATACCAAATTAATTACCTGTTTTTAATTTTTCCTAGATTATTATTATATTATTATTTATTTATTTTATTAATAATTATTATTTTCCCCTTCGAGAATATTTTATTTTAGTCCTAATTTTAATCTCAAGCAAATCTTAAACAAAAAAAAAATTACCGTGACGCGTCGTGGTATTTTTGCACACCGTACATTGAAAGTGACGTCATAGACGCAGGTCTCAAGTTATCGCGTCCGGGTTATATGGCATCGGTACTCCATTATTTGATATGGCGCGCTTCTCCGGGATTTGAATATCTTTGTTGACAAGTTTTTGATACAAAATGGATTCTTTATATATAGATGAGTCGCTACATTTTCCATAAGCCCCAACATCTATATATGTGAACTTGTAATCTGCATCGCATACAGCAAGTAAAACGATGGAAAAATATTTTTTATAATTATAGTACAGTGATCCTGAACCGCTGGGTTTTATCACTCTTATATGCTTTCCATCGATGGCACCAACGCAATTGGGATAGTTTGCATGTTAAAAATACACCCATTCACATGATTGACCTCGAATCTACGCGTAATTTTTTACCGCTGAACGAACTTTATCTTGGCGTTAATGTTGGCAAAGAAATACTATCAATTAAAGATGATCCAACTATGAAAACAAAACTGAAGGAGTTTTTCACTCGTATCAATCATTTTATATAGAACTCTGTAAGCAATTCAATAACAGATTGCCATTTGATTCATTTTTTCATGATGTGAAGTTTTTGGATCCGCAAATCGCTGCATTGGAATCGTTTACATCGTTGCTACCAATCTTAAATAAATTCCCTAAAATTGTAGATGAAAGCCAACACCAAGTGATAGATGAAGAATTTCGGCAAATGAAATTCGATACACAGGTGTCGAACCTCTTAACCTTTTCGAGTCAAAATTCAGATGTAGTCAGCATGGAGGCATTTTGGGTAAAAGTTCATAATCTAAAGAGAAACTCTCAAGCTCAACTGAAGTATGACAACATTTGTCAATTTGCTAAGGCGCTGATGTGCCTTCCTGTGTCAAATACAGCATGCGAAAGGATTTTTTCGCAGGTTAATTTAACTAAAACAAAAACAAGAAATAGGTTTCTTAATAGATCTGTTGCTGCAATCTTACACACAAAACAGGGCGTCAAAAATGTAGGTGGCTGTATTAGCTTTCATCCAGATGATACAATGTTAAAAAAGTTTTACAAAAGCAGTCGAAAAGAAACTAAATATGATGATTCTGAAGTCAGTGATTAATATTACAATAAATAATTAAAATTTCTTTTAATATACGCTGTTTTATTTTACAAAAACCTCTATTTTCTTGTTGTTTTACACTTCCGAAATGAAGTATTTTTCTTGGTAGGTTTTGGTCATTTGTCTAGTAGATTTTGGTAGTTTTTCTTAGTCGTTTTAGCAGTTTACAAGATTTGTGAACGGTAACACTGTTGCTAAGACAGTTGCAAGAAAGTGATTGTAAATATAGTTTTGTAAATAGTGAATAGTGTATAAAATAGAGTAGTCTGTGGTTGTTGGCGTTTATTAGTGTAAATATTAATTATGTCGGTCCGTAAAAACAGTAGTATTATTTGGCACCACTTTGAAAAAGACAATGTTAATTTTAAAACAAAGTGCAATGTGTGTAAAGACATTTTGAGTTATAAATCATCAACAGCAAATTTGAAAAGTCATTTAAGAAGGAAACATCCTTCAGTTTATTTGTCGGTGTTCGGAAGTGATGACCAGCCCGGCCTTACATCATCGGAAAGCGAACAAGCGACTCGATCATTGCAAGTGGAACCCATCCCAGGTACTTCGACTTCTGCGGTTGAATCGCAGCCCACGCCGCCACCAACTAAGCGGCAAAAAGTGATAGACGCTTTTATTAATAAAAAAATTAGCGTCGAGCAAAAAAAGTAAAACGACAGAGATTTGTTGGATTTATGTATCGACTCATTCCATCCGTTTTCGCTAGTAGAGGAACGAGCATTTAAAAAGTTTTGTAGGTGGATTCCCGGGTATAAATTACCTACCAGAAAAACACTTTCCGGGTCTCTCTTAGAGGAAACTTATAATAAAGTCGAAAATTACATCAAAGTTCAAGTTGCGCAAGAAGTAGAAACTATATGTATAACAACTGATCTTTGGACGTCAAGAGTAACAGAGAGTTACATTTCCATAACGGGTCATTATATAACACGACAGTTTGAAATGAAAACTGTATTATTGGGTTGCTGCATTTTTTCTGGGAGCCACACAGCTTCCAATATCGCTTCTGAAATAGAAGAAATTCTTATGAGGCGGAACATAAAAGAGAAAGTAAATTTTGCGGTGTCAGACAATGCCTCTAATATCGTAAAAGGTATTAAAGAATTTCTAGGATTTAAACATTTTGGATGTTTTGCACATACGCTCAATTTATTAGTGGAAGATGCACTTAAGGTAATGCAAACTCTGATAGAGAAAATAAAAAAAATCATGGCGCATCACAAAAAAAGCACACTATCATCTGAAAGGCTAATAAGATACCAGACGCAACAAAATAAAGAACCGAAGCGTCTAATCCAGCAAGTGGAGACCCGTTGGAATTCAGTATTTTATATGATCGAAAGAATGGTCGAGTTACAAGAAGCAGTGCGATCAACATTGGCACTTGT